TGAAAGGGCAACAAAATCATATGTCCTCAAACCCATGCACCCAAAAATAACACCCTGCGCCCCCCTAAATCCCCAACAACCCAACAATTTTGAACCCCTCCCCCTAAGGTGTAGGGTGTCATTTTCGGGTGCAGGCCCTTGGGGGGTGTAGGATTTGGTTGCCGCTTGAGGGTGAAACCCATAATACCAAGCAAAACAACTCACCCCCCCACCGGGGCCCACCCCCACCCCCCACCCCCGATGGAAATTTGTATGTTTGTGGCATTACCCTACCACCTATCACGCACCCCCACTTTAAACAAATGTAGACAATGGGGGGGGGTCGGGGGGGGTGGGGGGTGTTGTTTTGATTGATATTATAGGTTTCACCCTCAAACGGAAACCAAATCCTACACCACTCAAGGGCCTGCAGCCGAAAACGACACCCCAGTTCCCCCCCAACAGACCCAAACAACCCACCAATTTCGAACCCCACACCATTTGTCACCCCAACATACGACAAAACCCCCACAAAAATAACCCCCTCCCCACCCCCCGACCAGTGCTGAATTTTATTTTATTTTTCCGCCGACACATACCTTACGACGTGTCACACACCCCCACTTCGACAAATTTGCGAAATGAGGAGAGAAGGTTAACAACAGTCGTATTTTTCATCACCACTTCAAGACCATGAAAACCACCCTTCACCACTTGAAGATGCAACCTGCCTAAACAGGTGGTTTTCAGGGTCTTCGGACCTCTTACCACTTCAGGACCATTCAGCTCTCAAAATCCCGAATGGTCCTGAAGTGGTGAAAACTCCGAAGACCCTGAAAACCACCTGTTTAGGCAGGCTGCATCCTCAAGTGGTGAAGGGTGGTTTTCATGGTCTTTGGACCTTTCACCACTTCAGGACTATTCAGGATTTTCAGACTGCCCAAAACTCTCACTTGACCACTTCAGGATGCAGCCTGCCTAAACAAGTGGTTTTCAGGGGCTTCGGACCTTTCACTACTTCAGGACCATTCAGGATTTTCATACTGCCAAAACTCTCACTTCTGAATTTTCAGCTACCCGATAACCGCTTGTGGAAATAGGGGGGGGGGGGGTATTTTTTTTTTCACCATCATAGGGGACAAAAATTAACCCCCCCATAAAATATTTTTTTTTTAGTTTTTTCGGTTCGTGGGCCTGGAGACGCGTATGTGCCGCCGACTGCTGTTCTCAGATTTCCGAACCGACATCCCTTTCGGCCGCCACGGCGCCGCGCGTCCGCGGGGTCGCGACCTCGGCCGCGACCGCAGACTTGTTCGCGGATGACCGCCGCCGAGGGGGATTCGTAATGCGTGACCACGGCTTACCTCTGAGCATCATATATGATCGTGACCCGCGCTTTACTAGTCGATTCTGGCGATGGCTCCACGAGGTGTACGACACCCATCTCCGCTTCTCCTCATCTTACCATCCCCAGATTAATGGTCAGACCGAGGTCACGATCAGGACTCTCGGAGATATTCTTCGAAAGATTATTTGTGACGACTAGCAGTGAGGTCTCCATCTTGCCCACGTGGAGATAGCCTACAACCATGCTGTCTCGCTTGCCACGGGGATGTCGCCTTACTATTGCGATCTTGGTTATCACCCTCGTGTTCCCACGGACTTCCTTCGACCGTCACACATGCACCCCGATACGAGTTGT